GTTGTCCTGCATAAGGGTTGCCTGCCCGAGCCTCCCTTTCCCAGAAAAACGGCAGAGGACAGGTCGAGAGAGCTTTGGGTCAAGCTAACAGCCTAGTCGCGACTCTCGTACACAGTCTTAATGTTTGATTTGGGAAGGTACAACCTCTGCCTCTATCCCTCAACATATGGGTGACCTATTTGCTTGTAAAAATATAAAGCCTTATCATTAATTAATAAAAAAAGGGGGATATGTAGGGAGCCGTTCCTGCATTCTCCATTACAATAATGGTGCCTGAAGACACCAAAATGTAAATTACTTCACAGGCGCTGGGTAATCTCCATTCCTTTGATCTCTGCCTATCCCGTGGCTCATTTGGCCTGAGGAGCTGAAGCCATTCATAGGGTAACACGTCCCAGGCGGCTTGCCAGCCTTTATTAAGGAATGGGATTCTTGGTTCAGGGTCTCCGCTCTGGTAAGCTTATGCTCTCCCAACTCTCAAGATGCATTAAAGCTTGTCTGCAGAAGGATCCGAGTGTCCTGCGTGTATTTCTTGCCGGCGAGAACATACAGCGCGCGGGACAACACTGTACACATAATAAATAAATATTAAAAGAGAGAGAGAATTCAAATCTAAGGTTTACTCGATCAGGCCTAAAGCTCCCTGCTCCCTAAACGAGCTTTCAGAACTAGCTTTCTCTACTGCTCTCCTGTGAACGCCTCCACCCTACCATTTCACAAGGGTCCGAGATTACCACATTGGTTAAATGGTGATATACTGACTACATTTCTCTTAGGAAACACAGACATATAACTTAAACACATCAGGTCTAAAATATGCACGATCAGACTATAGCAGCATGTCTGTCTTATAAAGTCAAGCGAACACTGAACAGCAAATCAAAAAAAGTGTCTCTCCTCCCTCCTCTTCTTCCCTTCATATGTCTCTCTCTCTCTCTCTCTCTCTCTCTCTCTCTCTCTCTTCTACACACACACACACACACACACACACACACACACACACACGGAACAAGTGGAAAAGAAAGCTTAATCTCATACAGATTATAATTTTATGTATCATTATCACACTGACTCAAAACATGGCACATGAGTGAAGGTCAGTTCTCTCCTTCCACCATGGTTTAGGGAATGGAACCCAGGGGTTCAGGCTTAAGTAGCCTGGGCATCTCCCACTGGACGCCTAACCCAATCAGCATTTTACCAGGCTGTAATTTTAAAGTCTAGAAACAATTCATACTGGTTGATTCTACTGTCTTTATTCAGGGAGGGGAGAGAGAGAGAATGAAATTCACAAGTGTTAACTGACCCCACAGCTAGGAGCTCCCGTCACTACTTCTAGACTCTCCATCCTCTGATGATGTCTGAAGAGGTAGTAAGCACCTGGGAACTGACACTTGGGGCAACTGGCTCTCCACACACCCAGGGATGACTCACAGCTCTGAAAGTGTTAACGTGGGGTTACACATGAACTTTAATAAGAAGGCACACTTGCAAGTACAACTCTGTACTTCTGTATCTCTTTAAATCAATTTTAAATCGTTTGCTTTGGAGATGATGGTTAGGAAACAAAGCTGGCAAAAGCAATTTAACCTAAACTGAAGTGGAAAGAGTGTTGTGTGAGAATCTTACCTTGTTTTTGAGACTGGGAAGGTCTCCCTCCTCCAAAATGATGCCTTCCACCTCTGTCAGCCCCAAAGCCAGAGGCTAGAGTCACATTCGTGGGCTGGTTTCTCATTTTCTTAGCATGTTTTCTTTCTTTTGCATTAGACATTTCTGGAAAGAAAGCAATCCACTTAATAGAGGGAGAGGAAAAACTCTCACTTCAAAAATAAGGAATTGCCAGGCACGGTTGCTCACATCAGCATTTGGGAGGCAGATGCAGGAGGCTCAAGAGTTCAAGGTTGTCCTTAGCTACAGCACAAGACCAGCCTGGGCTACCTGAGACCATATTTCAAAACACAACCACCAAAGTACTTAACTGTAAAATGGGCCAGCAAGGTAAGTAAGCAGGTGAAGGTACTTGCCGACAAACCTGAATGCTGCATTCAATCCCTGAGACCTACACAGTGCAAAGAGAGAACCTACTCCAAGTTGTCTTCTGACCACTACATGCCCACCATGGCATAACCCCCAAGCCCCCACACAAATAAATAATAAAGGTAAAAAATAATAAATTTAATAAATATTTATGTAACTCAAAATTTGATGATACCAAAATGTTTACAAATTAATCAATACCAGGTATTCCAAAAAAGAGAAATTTCTCCTGCACTATTTGCTGGGCGGTGGTGGTGCACACCTTTAGTCCCAGCACTCGGGAGGCAGAGGCAGGGGGGTCCCCGTGGGTTCCAGGCCCAGCCCGGGCTACAAGAGCTAGTTCCAGGACAGCCTCCAAAGCCACAGAGAAACCCTGTCTCGAAAAACCGAGAGAGAAAGAGAGAGAGAGAGAGAGAGAAAATGAAGTCATGAATGGTAGCCATACCCAAAACTCATCTCAATAGAAAGTACGACCTTTACACACATGAAGCCGAGGCCCTGGATCCTTCTCTACTCTCCCATGGACCAAGAAAAACAGAGGAATAATGACCAACATGCCAATGACGACATGATCTACTGTGGAATAAAGGACACCTGGAATCCTTCAACTGAGGCTGATGGAATTTAGTGGTAGCACCTGTGTTCCAACCCCTGCTTGGCCACTTACTGTCAAAGCATGTCTCCCTAAGCCTTAGCTTCTCTCTGTAAAACACAGACAAGCACACACCTCATGGTTGCTCTAAGTATTGGATAAAAATACAGAAGGCAGAGCAGTGTGGGATTTGGTTTCTGTGTATTTAACAGCTGCAATGCAGCTGGGCTTTTCCAAGCTGGGTCACCAGCATTCTTGAAAACTTTTTTTGTTTGTGAGACGGTTAGATTTGAGACAGGGTCTCTCTGTGTAAACCTGGCTAGCCTCGAACCTACAGAGATCCGCCGGCCTCTGCTTCCTAAGTGCCAGGATTAAAGACATGCACCCCCAAAAAAAGAAAGAAAGAAAGAAAGAAAGTTGTAAAAGGAGTTCTTAATTGGTCTAGATAATAAAAATCCAGAGTCAGATATAGAGGGAAACGCTGAGAGATCAGAGAGAAGGAGTAAACCACAGCACACCTTACCTCCTAATTGTCTCAACAGAGAACAATTTTCTGTTCATCCCTGCTTATAGCCTGTTTCTGCCCAGCTACGTCACTTCCTGTCTGTACAGATGTCCAGACCTGTATAGTTCGCTAGTGGCAAGCTCCGTTCTCTGACCCCCAGACAGGCTTTATTTGCAAGAAAGATATCACAAGAAGTATGTTTCTTAGCAAGGTGTGGTGCTGCTGTTGCTTATAAACCAGTACTCAGGGCTAGAGGTGGGAGCTGGGCATTAGAGGCCAACCTGAGCTACACACAGCAAGTACCAGGCCAGCCAGGGCTTCACACATCATGACCCCGTCTCAAAAACACAAACCAACAACAACAAAAAAAAAAATTCTTAATGGAACTGTCCCAACGGGCAAACTTTGCATCTCGGAACAATTAATTAAACTACCTACAAACGCTAACAATGCTTAGAGCGACGTGAGATAAGGTCACTAAACTTAAACTACCTGTCACATATTTTATCTCTGTTCTTGGATGAAATAAGAGGCACCAGAATAAATTACAATGAAAACGCCTGGTTCCAAACTGAAGATAAATTATTGATGTTTTCACGTAGACCACTGAGCCGAGGCTGGCTAGCTAGCGATATCTTTAACGTGTAAGAGCAACAGACGGTAGTTTTGACTTCATGCGAAACACATAAAGAATGACAACGTGGGGCTGGAGAGATGGCTCAGAGGTTAAGAGCACTGACTGCTCTTCCAGAGGTCCTGAGTTCAATTCCCAGCAACCACACGATGGCTCACAACCATCCGTAATGAGATCTGGTGCCCTCTTCTGGTGTGCAGACGTACATGGAAGCAGAATGCTGTATACACAATAAATAAAATCAATCTTAAAAAATTAAAAAACAAGAATGACAACGTAACAAGAACTGATGGATTTACCAGACAGTTCCCCAATTTGAAGCACCTGCTGTCTTTTATGGACATAAAACTCATGCCAGGGATGAACAGAGACCCACCTCCCTCTGCACCCTACCATGGAGACCTGAGAGGTCACTTGGATGAAACAATTCGCACTTCTGTGTGCATTTTCCCACAACTACGTAGGTGACACTCTGCAACGGGGACGTCTGAACCAACACGGGCGCTGGCATA